CAAGGAGGCATGTTGTCGAGACAAATCGGTGGGACAATGCCTCAGTGCATCCTCAGGCGCCGGGCCTGGTACCGGGCCATGCTGGACATGAACAGTGAGCTGGCGCTACCTGAGTTGGTTCCAGAAAGGCGGCCGGCCCGCCTTGGCCAAAAGGCCGTTTCTCTGGAGCGCTAGTGCAGGAGTCCGAAGCGAACTGCCAGGGAAAGTCTAGAAAGAAGGGTGGACATGGCCGACCCTACCCGAGGCAGGCTTTCTTCTTCGACGAGTTCGAGTATGAGACGGAGATGCCCGAGTATTACCCAACTGCAGCGAGGATGAATATGAGCAGCCCGTGGCCCACCTCGCCCACTCGAGTCAGTACCTCGACGACGGCATGGTCACCTAGGAGCCCGGCATCTTCGCAGAGGAGCGCTTGGCATACTTCAATGACCAAGCGCTGGACCTCAACGATGAGGATGCTTGCGACTGTGCTGCCGATATCATCCAGACAGAATGAGGAGGCCTACATGGCGACAGAAGGGACACGCAGCACTACGACCTCGGAGGCGGCACGGCGAGGTAGGTGACGTTCTCCTGTGCCGGTGGTGCTCCTTACAGACCGTGCGGGGCTTTGCGCTGGAGCCGCCTTGCCGGGCGGGTTTTCCTTTGTTTGCTGCTGCACCTCCCAAAGCGTCCGAACGTAGAGGGCGAAGAAGACCCGACCTTTGCTGCGTCACCTTTCCCACGCCCTTTGCTCGGCGGGCATGTAGCATCTCCGCTCCAATGCCCAATCGTGCCGCACTTGCGGCATGATGTTCTCCAGTGCCATGAGCCGGGCTCGCTCCTGGTCGATCGAGAAGCTGCCGCTCAGTTGGAAGGGTGGTGCTCACCTTACAGCTCTCCACTCAGGAAGTCGCCACGACCGCATCCACTGCAGCCTGGCTGGATGCCGAGGAAGACATGGCCATGCTGATCGATGCTTTGGGCTAACAGGCGCACACGAGCCCTCTTGACGCAAGCCCCTGAGTTTTGACGATCGCCCACAGCACCCGGCGGGCACCAGAAGGAGAGAAACCTACCGCAAGAACAGCCGAGACCCGACGACACGCGGCGCACGAAACATCAGTTCCGAAAGGTGACAGCCCGGAGCTATCCACTCCGATGTCCGTGGCTGAGCCGGAGCAAGAGAATGTGCCACCCAGCCGGCACATCAGTGATGGAAGCGGCGAGGCCACGACCACAGGCACCACCATGCACAACCAGGCTGACGGCTTGTATTCCTGCACCGACGTCCGGCCTACACCCCTGCAGACTGCCTTGCATCGATCGGTTGAGGAAGAGGAAGTCGGCCGGAGAGACAAGATCACAAATTCCATCCGGACGGCCCGAATTTGCAAGAAGTCGGCGGCGGCGCGAGCAAAGGAGCTCGACTTCGAGAAGGTCAGCGGCAAGCAAAAGGCGAGTCACATCCACCCGTTGGGTGGGCACCAACAAGGCACAACCGTGGGAGGCCCCGAGATATAAAGCCCGGATTGTCGTGAACGGTGACTTAGAGAAGGACAAGGGAACCAGGACAGACTCGCCCACATGCAGCTCTGTCATGCTCAACGTCCTCATCAGCTTCGCCGCCAGTCGCTGTCGTCGACTCCATGGCAGCGATATCGCGGTGTCATTCCTGCAGGGAGGACAGATAACCCGGAGGTTGGTCTTATCACCTCCTAAAGGCGGACGACTCCCAGGCGTGGAGGAAGGATCCATCCTCATCGCCAACAAGCCGGTCTACGGCACCCGTGACGCGCCAAGAGGCTTCTGGAGGAGGCTGGCAAAAGCAAAGGACTACGACCAGTTCCTCAACGCGGCCTACGTCTTGAACGACCTCGACGGCATCGTCAAGGGCATGATGGTTGCCCATGTTGATGATTTGCTGTATGGTGTGGTACTGCAGAGATGGATGAGGTGATGAATGAAGTGCAGAAGGATTTTAAAATTTGGATCCTTGGAACATGGGGCTCCTTCGAGTACTGTGGACGCACCATCCAGCAGGGTGACACCTCAGGCGGGATCAAGGTGACATGCCCCAACACTGCCTCCAAGATACGCGGCATCAACCTGGAACCGGGGAGAAAACATCACAAGGGCGAGACGGCGACTCCCCAAAAATAAGCCAGCTGCGCAGCATTGTCGGGAGCTTCAATTGGGTCACTCGCGTTTGCAGATCCGACATCGCCTACAGCGTGCACAGGTTGCAAACAATCATGGCCCAGGCCATGCACTGTGTACGACCTGTGTGCGTGCAACTACGTGAAGAAGACGCCCGACCTCGGCATCTTCTATACAAGTATGAGGCGATGACCTTCGAGGACATGCAGATCTTCTCGGTGACCGACGCTTCCCATGCCAACGACTACGACACTTCCTCCAACGGAGGCAAGCTGATGCAAGCTGCTTGGAAACCGAAGCCAGAGCGGGAGGTTTTTACTTCGAGGTTCCCCTTGCCTACGGGAAACCGGCGAAGGGACCACCTACATCGTTTTCTACCACTCCAGCCTGATCCGTCGAGTGTGCAGTAGGAGGCAGAGCACCGCCGGGCGATGCTCTAATGCCTCCGCCATGACGACGAGGACTGTCGGCTGGTCAATGCCATGGACCACAAGAACAAGAACATCTACATGATGACCGACTGCCGCAGCCTGGAAGAACAGTTGCACTAGGCTGGACTCCAGACCGTGCGCGACAAGCGGCTCGCTATCGACTTATGCGGGCTCAGGCAAATGATTTGGCGACGACCAAGTGAAGAAGTCGGCGACCCTTTCTACGACGATCAACCACCCGACGACTCCACAACAGAGGCCATCTTGACAGAAACGAAGATTGGCTGACAAAGTCGATGAATTGCCCACAGGTGCTGGACATGATGGCTTCCGGGCACCTCAAGGTCGACATGGACAAGGCCAAATCAAAGAAGGAAACTAGCTCATCAATATCTCCATCTGAATTTTCACCGAAAAGAGTTTCGGTCGGTGTGAATGCGCATGTTAAATCACGCTGTCACCGTTGTGGGACATGTTGCTCGGTGAGATCAGATGCGGCCGTTTAAGGTTTAGGGGTTTAGGGGGTGTAGTCCTGATGCAAAAACAGGGGTTTACGGCTCAAGGCCCAGGGGGTTTAGGGGGTTTAGGGGAGTAGGTGCTGTATTCAGGATTTCAATGTCCAGGGGTTCTAGAGTTCTAGACCAGGTCGGCATGAAACATCGGCAAACCATTCAAACCAACACCAATTTGGTGTTCCTTACTATAAATGTAGTATAATGTACCACCAAAATGCCAAAACCCTATTCTAATTGTTTAAACCCCTACATTACGATTCTCACGCAACTGCAACAAAAAGCGCACGACCCTTGGTTTAAACAAAAAGGGAACCCAGAACCTGAAGCCCTAACTCAGCGCAGCTTCGGCTGCAGTGGGAGGTCTACACCACCGAAGGTGGGAAGTGGAGAGCCGTCACAGCGGCCGCCTGCGAGGCAGATTAGGGTTCGGGGTTTGGGCTTCAGGGTTTTGGGAGTTCTGGTCATCACAGAATCTTGCGCGAGCTAACTAGGACAAGATAGGCCGACCGTACTGGTCATTGTCCCTTCAACCTTCGCGGTTAGATTGCACACGTTTTGGCTGACAAGATGATCAGGCTCGAACACTAAAGCCTGACACCCTATACACCCTAAACCACATTACGGTTTAGGGTCTAAACACCTCTGTCAGTCTGAATCCCAAACCGCAAACCTACATAGCAGTGTTCAAAACGATCGCAGCTATCGCCATGAAGCGAAGTTCGAACACCTAGACCATTGGGTAGTTCTCTAATTAGGGTCCCTTTTAGGATCCCTGAAGAAAGGGTGCCTTACTATTTCCTATTTTGGGACGTAAACTCAGAGACCTACCCACATAATCCCGAAACCAAGAGATCCTAAAATCCTTCAAAAAGCGTCAGTTCCTAAACCCCATCTCGAGTGTTGCAGCAGAAAATCTCGAACTGCAGAACCCCTACCTTGAACTACCAAAACCTACTCCTTTGTAGAGTCCCTACAGCTTCCGTATCAGGGCTTGTAAGAATAAGAGCCTACAGAATGAGTAGGTCATGGTAGTTTGAGGAAATCCACAAGGGCTTATGGCCTATGGCAACTTCTGACACCAGAGGCGCACAGTCTCGGACGACCCGTGCTCGTTGGAACCACAAGCGTCGAGATGCTTGGCATTGCTTAAAGTTTAGGGTTTACGGTCTAATGTAGGCTTCTTGGGGTGGCTGCACGGGTTGGATATAGGGGTTTAAGGGGTTCGGGTTGAGCATGTATGTCGGCTGTCATGAGCGCCGTTGACGTGAACTGTTGATTCAGTCGCCGTGCTTCGGGAAGCGAATCTGTGGGGCCTGACTGGCGCCGGCAAAGACCCGATGCAGAAGGTTTAGACTCGGCCCAATGACCCGAAAGCCGACAAGCCTAGAAATAAAAGCAGCGTTGTTTGAGGCCGCACCCCGCCTTAATCCTCACACCCTACCGAAACTAAGATGCAGGTGTTAGGGACTGGGATTAGAAAATCGGCTTCTGGGATGCTCCAACACCCGTGGAAAACGTAGGTGTAAGGGCTTGGCCTCAAAGCTTGTCAGCAGCCCATGCTCCACGACGCCGCAAGTGAGACTGCTGCTCAGGCACAACTGTATGCCGTTTAGTTGCTGTTGTTCTTGAGATTTGATCCCTGTGTCCTTGACATAGAGTTAAATAGAGGCTACAGCCACTTTGGATAAAGGGCGCCATCACTTCTCAACGAAAAGCAGAACCTCATTGAATATCCACAGACTGTCGCAGAAGACCAAGAGCTGCCAAACAACCGAAATCCAGAACCCTACAACCCCTGCCAAAAAGCCCATGCCCCTAAACCCTTAGCCTGAGCCCCAAACCCCTAATCCTAAAACGAAGCCTCGTGTGGTCCGCTTTGTCCACTCGTCCCGGCCTTGATGTGCAGAGCGCGCATATGGACGACGGGGAGCCGACGCCGACACACATCATTGACTTCAAGCTTCCCTTGCACAGTGAAGATCATTACCTTGAGGGCCAACATGTGGATAGTCCAGCCACCACCTTGTGGAACTACTGTGTGCTGCTGAAGGTGTATCCTCGAGGCTTTGGCTTCACATCCCAGGGGCCAGGCGTTGCTACCAAGCTGGTATTCGTGCCGATCTACACAGATTCCGAGGACACACTTAACAGCGCCTTGTCCGGGAAGACAGATGAGCTCACGATCGGAGATGTGCGATTCTGCTTGACAGTTAGATATGCCGGTCAAGCCGAAACTCGAAAAGGTAGCCCACACCGCCTTCGATGTGGCAAGTGCAACGAGTGCTTCACTCTCAAGCATGCAGTTTGCAAGTCCGAAGCTTTGCTGGTACCGCCGAAATATGTGCCTGGCGAGTACTTGCACTGTTTAGTGGAGTGTCTTGGCTGGTCGAGGCAGTTGTTAGGAGCTTTTTGATGATCGCGTATACATTGGAACAGCCATATGCCGACTTACTGACTAAACCGATCTAAACCCTAAACCCCTTGCAGAAAATCACCCTCATCCCCTCTAAACCTCAAACCCACAGATGCCAGACATGTAGGCTTTAGGAGGTTGAGGTTCGGAGGTTTAGGAGATTGTAGGTTTAGGATCTGACGGTTTGGGGGGTTTCGGGCTTTGGGATTATAAGGCGCAGCCGTAGACAATTGCAAGGCTGTGGTTCGACCCCAAGAACTTGGGATACGAGCCCAGCAAGCGTCGCCGCCTCGACTATGGGAAAGACCTGTGGCGAGACATGAAGCTTCTCGGCAGGAGAAAAACCCGACTTGTTTCGTGAAGCGCTGCAGAGGTACCAGAAGTTCCCAAACCCCTCAGCCCTAAAAATCCTACATGGCTAGGGGTTCCAAGCCCTAACTCCAAAACCCGAAAATCCTAAAGAGCATAAACCCTAAACCTACTGCACTAACGAACTCCCTGCAGTGCGACTCTGTCAGCTAGGCCCGGTGGGAAAAAATATCCACTGCCCAAAACCGGAAGTCGAAACTAAGGTTCACGGACATGACGATGCGAGCTGGAGACGAGGGAGAAGACCTCCCTTGCCATCGCGCCGTGCTGGCCAGGAGTTCGGAGGTCTTCGACCGCATGCTCAGCTCTCAGATGAAGGCCGGAGGCCTTCATGTTTCAGGTTGAGGGTTTATTAGCTGTTCGAGCTAAGCGCTCTTTATAGGGCTTGGGTTTTTTTAGGGCTTCCGGTTCCTTTTTCCTGGGTTTCTGGCGACTTAAGGTCTGAGGGCAGGATCCATTAAGACACCAGCTATCCCTAGTTCGACATTACTTGTGAGGGAGCTCGGGCGAAGAGGACGACGACCCCGCCTCCTACTTTGATCAAGACGTCTATAAGACTATACGTATACTGTATCACGAAGCACTCGTGGGTCGCATCCTCGTCCTAACCATGATGATCGTGCTGGTGGTGGTGACGGCGATGATTGTCGGGGATGGCAGTCCGGAAACCTGTTCCTGATCGCTCTCCTGGGTTGCCCTATGTCAGCTAGCTTAGGGTTTAGGGTTTAGGGTTGTGATGTGAGTGACAATGGATGGCAAGGGCTTATAAATAGCAGAAACAACTACAGCAGCTGCGACCAGGAAATACTCCACTGACCTATATTTACTGCAAGCTTGCTGTTGACAATTTGCCAGCACTTGAGAGGAGGGTTCGGAGCATCGCATCGTCATCCGCAACGCGGCTTCAGGAACTCTGAACAAGCTGCTGCGCTGCACTTCAGCCCACCGCTTCTTCATGTGGCTAGTTCTCTAAATTATGGGTCCCTTTTGGGGTCCTTTTCATAAGGCTGCCGTACTTTATTGGGGAGCTACAAGGGGACCCCAATTTAGAGAACCACCCATGTAGGGTTTAACTTCGACTGGGCTTTGTCTTCTGAGACTTCAATGGGTTCAAGCGCAAAAACTGTTACTCGGGTTTAGGGTTTAGGACCGCGGTGGACCGCTGTTGCATACTGCCTCGCTTGTCTGAATGGCAGCAGCTCATAGCGATTTTGCAAGGGCAACCGTGGCTTCGAGAGTGCTAGAACACAAAGAGTTGCCACTGTACTGCGTCCAACAGCAAAGCATCAGCCACACTAGCAGCGTAAACCCCAAGCCCTAAACCGCAAACTCTTTGCACAAGAACCTCCCCACAAAAGACAAACCGCCAGTCTCCGAAAGTCCCGCCAAATGGTGAGACCTACATGGGAGTTTCAGAAAACAAGAGACCCTGATATTTGGACCATTCATGGCAGCGTCCCTGTTGTACAAACTCCTACATCCGGTGCCTCCAGCTCTACGTCGGCTTAGACTCTTAGGAGTTTAGGGGTTTAGGGTTTCGGGTTCAAGGTTTGAGGTGAGCCCTAAACCAAAAGGCTAGCTAAAGCCCGAAAGCACTCAAGTGAGAGCCAGAGAGAAAGGAATCAACAGACCTAGTTGCTAAACAAGAACGCCCCAAACAAAGGAACAAAAACAATACCGAGGTTGCTAGAGCACATCTACACCGGGGAAGCCCCAGATGCTTTGACTGTCTCGGAGTTTCTTCGACACATGCTCCGGGTTCCTATAGCAAGGGTGAAGTGAGAGTTTGTGAGGTCTTGCAATTCAGTTTTTTCGTTTTGCCTCGCATCTTCATAGGGGAACGGCTAAACTCCTGAACCCCGAAACCGTTTCACGACTTAGACACCATCGAAGATTTGAGCCCCAAATACCTTCACACACGTTACGCCCTGAAGCGTTCAGCCACAAACCTCCAAGCAACGCCAAACCCCAAACACCCATCAGCCCTAAACCCCTGACGCTTCAACCCACTACGCACCAATAACCTGGCCAGGCTTGTCCGAGTGTGAGCGCCCTGACCCAAAGCCTGCAACTCTGATCTTCCAAAATCCCTGAAATAATCCAGGAATATACCTTAACACATATTTGGGATCCTAGTAGAACTGAGGTATATACCTGATATCATATTTGGAATCCTACTAGAACCGAGGTCTATTCCTTGAGGGAGTTTGGAAGATCTGTGAAGCTCAGGAGAGCAATTCCGTCCAGGAGCTGGGGGAACTGATCTGCCTCGGCAACCAGTGCCGTGGATTCACTTCAGGCCTACATCAGGATTTTTCCAAGATTACATCAGGCGGGTTTTTCAGGGTTTGAGAGTCCAGGGCGTGATTTATTAAACCCTTAAGTCTAAACCGCTTTTCCGGGTCTGGGTCTTGGCCTACTTGTTTGCAGGTTTTTTTTTGTGGGGTTATGTTTACATTTCGGGAGAAGCAACCCTACATCCCGGAAACCTAGCTCTGCAGTGTTCTTCCTTGGTTTAGGGTTTAGGAGTTTGGGCTCTGTCACGACAGGGCTAACGGGTTTAGGGTAAAGGGGTTTGAGCCCCCCCTATACCCTAAACCCTAAACCCCCAGGTATGGGCTTGCTCAGCTTGCTGAGTCCTGTGCGGCGAGCTTGTCGAAGATGATGTGTCCGACGAACGTGGTCGCAGTGCTTCGTGAGACGCTTGCCGAGAGTCTGGGGTTTGGTCCGGGGATGTTTGGGCCTTGAAGCAGCCACTCCGCCTTAGTCTGAATGCTTTGACCATGTTTCAGGATAGCCCGGACCTTCAGAAAAAATCTCCACCACCCCAAGCTTTATCCGGATCTCACAGTGGGCACGTTTTCCCCTTTTTGTGGTCCTTGGTTTCCTACAAAACCACCCAACTCCGAAAAGGGAACCCTGCTCTTTCTCAGGCTGCTAGGGAGCCTAAAGATATAAACCCCAAACCCTCAGCCCTACTAAAATCCTGAGAGCCCAGGCTTCGAAAGCACCGTGTCATTTCCCTCATCCACACGATCCTGGAGGAAGCCAAAGTCACTTGCTGACTATTGGATAGCAACGGGGAGAGCGTTAAGCTTTGTGGCCTTGTATATCGGGTCTATCTCAATCAGTTTGAACTTTTTGGGCCGAGTTATTGAAGCAGAGAGACAAGGACTAGGGTTCCATTCTCCCCCTTCCCCTTAAAGCACCTGCAAGGTGAAGGTTGGCCAAGATCCAGAGCTCGTGGCAGCGCTAGTGGACGCTATCTGATGGGAGTCTTTAAAAGTGAGCCGCAGGGGGTTGGGGTTTAGGGCTTAGGGTTTAGGGCCCCATTTGGGGCATAATGTAGGTTTCGAGTAATTCCTCATTTCTCTTATATCCCAAGACCTACTACACAGCCTATTCTAAATAGTTACGGCACCTAGAATTAGGGCTGATCGGTTTATGGCCTTTTGAAGGATCCTGTTTATATGCCTATTTATCCTTAACTAGTCGGGTTACCGGTCCTCTTTTAAGCTCTGCCATCTCGAGCGCGACAGCGTTCGTCACGTCAAGCAAGTCTTGTTCCGGCCGAGCCAGTTAAGCAGCTGCTTGGCATCTTTGGGGCGCGCCCGTTGCAAAAATCTTGGGCCTCTAAACCCCTAAACCCTAAACCCTAAACCCATTAGCGGCATGAAACTCAGACCTTAAACGCTGCACCCCAAGCCTGACGACCTTCACAAATCCTGAACTCCTCCGAGGATCCTAGCTGGCTCCAGATACAGTGCCCTGAAGCAGTGCATGCAGAACAGCTCACGTGTTAGAGGTTTAGGCTTTTGCAGGCGAAGCAAAAGTGGGTTTAGTGTCATCAACTCATCGCAACACCTTTAAGTCGAATTTGGCATTGCGCAGATTGAGTTTTAGCCCGCACATAGTCGCGGTTTGACTCAGTATGGTCTGCTCGCCGCTATGCCATGCTGTGGGAAGGATTCGCATCACTGGCTAACAGAAGCAGTGCAACAAAACATAATTGGAAATGAGTCATCTAATTTATAAAGCAGTATAACACAAAGCAATCTAAAACCCAAAAAATCGTAATATAGTATTAGTCAGGCCAGGCAGCTCCTTCTCATCTTGCTATTCAGGAAGAGGAAGATGGGGGATTAAACAACAATCCGTTATTACATGCTACCAAGCATGTGTAGCCGAACACCTTGTTCCCATATGTCATCCCGAAAAAAAACGCCGCGCATCCTGGAACGGCAGTGCTACCGCCTGTTGTCGTGCCAAAAACGGCGCCGCCCACAACCAACAACAGGCAGCAGCTCCCTAAACTCCTACCTAAACCCCAAGAAATCATAGTAAGGAACCCTAAAAACAGTTAGGTTGTATAGGGTCCGGGTATACCCTAGTCCCGACCGATGTTCTGGGCAAGCTGTCTTCCCAGGAATTCAGAGGTCCTTGCTGGATATCTCAGCCGCGAGGGTCTCACCTACAAGCTGCTAAACGCCAAGCCAGAGAATGCAGCCAGAGAGGCTGCAGCTCGTCTGCAGATCGTGGATGGTGCGCAGTTGTTGGGGGTGTTGGGCTTCTTTGGTCCATGTCGCCATTTCTGCTCCACGAAGAACAGGCATCTATCTCAATGCTGTATAATGTTGGATTCAGGCTTCCATAGGTTTCCATGGCCGAGACACTGCAGGTATGAGCTAGGTACCGATTTGGGATACATTGCCTAATATTGAAACCCGACTGTAAGTCACGCTGGGGGGCCCTTGAAGTTGACACCTACTATCACCTAGTCAGGCAAGTGTCGGCTCTGGTGTTACAACCTACCCTCTGTGGGATTCGTTGTATATGGACAGTTGAGGTATCCTTTCCTAAAGCCGAATGTAGTGGAAGACTCAATCCTAAATCCTCAAAGCTCTACGCCTGATTCCCCAGACCCGAAGCCTTGAACTACGGCCTTGAACCCAACAGCTTGAGACTCCCATGCAGATGCGTGGCAGCCACAGGAAATCGTGGCTGCTGGTGGTCTTCCTGGTGCGATCACCATCGCAACCAACATGGCAGGCCTTAGACGCATAGTCTCCGGGTTGGGGGGGTCAAGTTTAGTTTAAATGGTTGAGTTTGGGGCTCTCGGGGTTAAGTACGGCGTATCGAACTTAGAAGCTCAGGCTGCTGTGGTTGAAGAGTTCGTGGGATCGCATGTCAGGGAGATACTAGAAGGACCCCTTAAACCGAAAGACACACCCTGAGACTGTACGCTTTTGACAGCTGATTGAAAGGGTTTTTTTCTCGCAGCTGATTCGGTGCAGCAAACCGCACACATGTTGCCGACTGGCGCATACCTATCGGTACTCCCCCCCCCCAGAGAGGAAGTGCAGCAATCGCTGCAAGAACGTTAAGTCATAAGATGAACGATGAACTAGAATACTCACAGTCCATCATAATAGCGTTTTTCTCCTCTCGGCACTATCGTAGCATGGCAGCAGCTACAGAGGCATCTAGTACTCTCGCAACGACGCATGGGAAGGCTCGATGGAGCTGTGCAATCTTTATGTTGCTTTGGGTTAGTAGTCTCTGCAGAGGATGCTGACAGCCCCTGATTACCTAGACTGATGCTTTTAGAGCATCCAGGGTGTGCACAGTTTCAGCTGACGGATGGCTATCTCTGCCATGTTCCCCTGCGTGCAATCGTGGAAAGAGCCAGGCGTGACTTAGACGCCCACGCAGCTATTCAGGTCAGGTTGGGAGACGGACCGCTCAAGAAGGATATTTCAAGGAGAGACGCAGGCGTGATAACCTCTTTCTTCACGGCTGGTCGGCTGGCCTGACAGAAATATATCTTTGCCTCAGTGCGGCGGCATGTCTCGCTGGGTCCTGCCATGATTCCGATGGCAACTTCTACGTGTCCCAAGAACACCCATGCAACTGTGGAAGACACGTGCTAACACTCTAGCGCCCCTTGACTTGCTTATTCTGGAGATATGGGGCTTTTGAATTCTTGTCCACATACGCCGTGGTCTGATTGATCCCAAGACCCTGCCGCCCAAAACTCTAAACCCTCAGACCTGCCCCCTTGGCCCTGAGCGCTCAGTCGTAAGCTTAAATCGCGAATACAAAAACTTGACTCTAAGTTCCAACCCTTAGGCCCTAGATTGTTTATGGATTGTACAGGCCAGCTTTTGTTACAGTCTAACCGAGAACCTATGTGCGCGCCCCCCCCCCGGCTCGTTAAAGTGTGCTTTGTTAGTCTCACTGCCAAGCTTATAGCCATTCCTTTCAGATAAAAGCGAGCACTCCGAAGAACCCTTGTTGAATGCCAGGCCGGGGAACGGACATAGTGCTCGGTGGAGATGGGAAGGCGATGGCGAAGTTGTACCTCAAGGACGGATGACGAGTTTCGCTCCCTCAACCTGAAGAGTGAAGGCTTAAATACTACGGGGTTGCTACTATAACATTCAAGAGGCAGCTTACATCCGTTTGTACGTTGTTAATGAACATGACATCCCCTGCCAATCTAGAAATCTGACATGATTTGCTGCAGTTCATCGTACGTATGCAACATACTTATTCAACTTCCCTCTCCGTCTGTTGCAGCTTCATGCTGCTTATGCAACTGCTGCTTTTCAATTTCCTTTTGCAGGAGGCTCTGCGGAACGTTTCTTCCACGGCACCTGGACAGAAAAATAGCTGGTGGTGGCACAGCACCAGAATCACGGGGTTTAGGGCTAGTCGCGGCTAGTCCTGTCCTAAACCCCAAACAAAGATCAAGCCTTGCCTGGATACATTTATTGAGCCTGCCGCATTTTTGTCTGCATCCTCGCTAGATGAATCGGTTTGCGGGTTGGTGGCTTTGGATGCTGAAAGGAGCCATAGGGTTTGGGATGCTCGCCGAGTGGACGCAGCATGGCTTGCAGGTGTCGCTTGATGTTGTTTCTAAGTCCGAAACCCTAAACACATGGCTACGGGCCCAAGCTTCGGTATGGATTGCACTTGCTACAGGCCCACTCGCAGAAAATGGGTTGAGGGGCTTAGGGTGTTGATTTCCCGGCTGGCGAACAGAGTCCTGGATGCAAAAGAGGGTTCAACACCCGATGGAGTGAACCAAGCGGGGAAAAAAACCCAAGTGGCAGCCTGCACGACGCCCCAGGCCACGCCAGACGAGAACTCGCCGGAGCTCTCGGAACTATGCCTTCCCTTGTCGGAGCCACAAACTGCAGAAGGTTTTTTGCAAGAAGAACAGTGTAACAATAAAGCAGAACACGGCTTCGGAGAGCTTTGTGGTTAAGGCGAGACACTTACAGGATGCGCATATATTGTCAATTATGTTTATCGTTGTTGGTCGCTGCTGCTGCTACGGCGGTGGTGGGGGTGGTTGCGGCAGTAGGAGTTAAGGCTGAGGCAATTATTGTGATGGTTTTTACTACGTTTCGCACATCTCTAGACCCTAATTGCTGCACCCTTCGGCAAGATGTCAAAGCTTGACACCTCGAGAGTGGTGGTGTTTTCGGTACATCCTAGCATCGACGTTCTGCGAGACATGAACATGTTCCGTGTCTACACCTACGTTTGAGAGCGTTGTCGTCTTGGCATCCCATCCCGGAAGTTACTTATCTGAAGGCAAAACATTGCCATGTCTTGAGAAGGCCTTGTGTCGACTGCCTTGTTTTGAACGGTTGCAACATGCTGAGACTTTGGAAGCCCCAGTTTCAGAAGAGACGGCCCAGTGTTGCTTGAGGTTTCGGTCAAAAAAGGGCTCTTTTTAGGGTTCTCCCCGGATTCCGTTAAGGGATCCATGAAGGCCCCCCTTTGAGGCTTCTATCGGCCCCTTATGGGTTCTGAGTCTCAGCTTGGGTTCCAGGAGCCCTGAGCCATGAAACTCCCAGGATGCCATCCAGGATGAGCTCACATCCGCCTGTTGTGTGTCCTGGATGCAAAGGCTCGTGGAGGTCCTAAAATTTGTGGGTATAGAGCTTATGGTTTAGTGCTTGGGGGGTTAGCTTTTTGGGTTTAGAGTTTACGGTTTAGGGATTTAAGGCTTTTGGGAGACTCTCCGACAGTTTGGGGTTTGGACTAGGGCGCTAGTAGGCATACGGCACGCAGAGTTATTGAGATTGAGGGGGGTGTTAGATGTCTTTTCGCGACGGATTCAAGGCCCCCTGAGGCGGCTGTAGACGAAAGCTACAATTGCAAGGCACCTTGCCGTCAGTCGGCGAAGGACATCATAGCCCCTGCACTGGTGAGCGAAACCCTTCCCGAAACCCTGTTAAACCCTATTAGACCCTAAGCCCTAAGCGGCCCTAAACCTTCAACCCAAACCCCCCAAAGCATAGCCTAAATCTGCCCCGGGGTCTCGCAGCACTGGCGATTCACAGAGGAGCCGGCTATGGGCGGCGAGAAAGTCAAGAACTAGAAAACTGGCTGAGTCTGTTTAGGGTTTAGGGTTCTGAGTGTGTTCACCGGCAGTCTCGCAACACCACGACATGAGCTCACTTCCTTGGCGTTGAGGGTTTCGGGGACCGGCGAAGCTTCTAGATGTACCAAGTCTCAGTGTTAAGCTGCTAAAGCACACCACACCCTGAACTCTAGATAAACTCCCAAATCCCCAATTCCCCAACCTGGCCCTAAACCCTCAGCTCTGAAGAAACTCCCAAATCCCAAACCCGAAACCCTAAACTTTGAATAAACCACCGAATCCCCAAACCCTGAACCCTAAGTGCTAAACTCTGAATAAACTCCCGAATCCCCAAACCCCTGAGCCCCAAACTCGAAACAAACTCCCAAATCCGCAAAACTCCCAAACAAGCTCCCGGCGAAGCCATAAAGCCACTGGGGGCTAAAGCCTAAACCCTAAACCGGGGCATCTCAGCTCGTGGCAAGCGCTGCGCCGGCTCTGGCTGCGGCAGACATCGAGCGGGCCGTGGCTGGTGAGGTTGGCGGGGCTGCTGATGCAGTTTGATAACGATAGCAATGTATAGTGTATAGTATAGTATACAGTATGGTATGGTATGGTATGGTATGGTATGATATGGCATGGTATGATAGTATAGTATAGTATAATATAGTACAGTATAATGCATACCTCGAAAAAACTGACCACTGATGATATTACTACCAGGGTTCTGCCCGCTCGAGCGGCCTAGACCAGTACCCCAGCCACTCAACACGTAGGGGAGGGCCAGGAGGGGTGATGCGATGTCGGATCGTGAAATCCATGAAGCAGGATTTGGTGATGAAGGGCTTTGCATGTGAAGCTGGATGTAGAGGGCTTCGTCTTGAGGCTGATTCTGCTCAACAAGATTCTATAGGCAACTTGTCGCAGGGGAGGACTAGGACTAGGAGCGCTGCACAGGCGACCTGTAAAATCCCAGCTCAACCCATGATTGTCTGAAGACGCTCAAGAAGCCAGACTGCGAAAGTTCTGGCGATAAGCACCACGCTTGTCAGCATTCTGCACGGTTGCACGACGAATGGGAGAACTATAGGGCATCTGCATCCCCCAAGATGCAGGCCTTGGCCGAAGCTAGTGACGCTGTGCTGGCGGCGGTGCAGTCGCTCAAGGCCACGTACCACAAGGCGCTGTTGATTGCTGCTGGTTGGTTGGGTCTACGTCTAGGGATTATGACTTCGACGACACCGACGACTAGTACTAGTTCCACTACCCCCACGACTACGACGACGACCACGACGACGACGAGTACTGCCACCACTTCCAACAATGCCACCTCCGCCAGCAGCAGCAGCACCACCACCACCAAACACCTACACCTGGACACCCTAGTGCATCCCAGCGCCAGAAACCTAGACCCTGTCGAGATGGAGCGAGGCGCGGGACTACCTTCTCGAAGCTTGCGAGCTCCAGAGTCGCGAGGCACTCCGAGCTTTGAGTCCAGGGAAGGTTGTTTTTGGTCTTTGGGTGTGCCTGGCTCTCCGTTTTTGGAGGCACTAAACGGCAACTAGGCGGGGCCAAGAAGCAAGATCCCACAACTCTTACCTCCGCGGCCTCGGGTTCTGGAACGTAGCTTAGCGGAAGGGGTCTCTGGGGATCCAAGGCAGTTCTCTGCATCCGACCGGCTGTCCGGACTTGATGTAGAGTCCGCTGTCGCTGTTGTTTCTCGGCTTCCTGAGGTCGTGGAAGCTGGCGGCCTGTGCGTTCTCGGCACGGAGCGGCATGAGGTGGAGCCCTGAAACGACATTTTCAAGCCCTACAGCAGTTGGCAGTGTTGCCGCAGCATTATTCTTTAGCAAACCTGCGCCTTACTAAACCACAAAGGCTGACCCTAAATCCCCAATCCTAAAGGCGGGAAGCAGGACGGGCTCTCGTAATTCCGGGTCCTTGCGGTAGGGTTCCATCCGAAGAAGAGTCTGACTGAAGAGAACCTGAACCCTACAAAAACACCCTAAAAAAAATACCCTAAGAGCCTTGTAAGCCTTATAAATGCAGTCCTTCTTAACCGCTCCAAGCTCTAGACCCTCGAAATCTCATATGACCTGCAGAAGCTCAAAAAGACCCGAACACCTTTTATCAAACCCATGAAACCCCTCACAAGCCTCTACCACCCCTAAACCCTAAACCCCCAAAGCCTAAACCCCTAGACCCCAAGCCTCAACCAAAACCCTAAACCCTAAACCCCCAAACCCTAAACCCTAAACCCTAGGCAAAAAAAACCCAAACCCAACAAAGCCCGAGAGGCCCGGCGAATTGACAACCAGCTGCGCGGCCGCTCCGGGCGCCAGGGCGATCCCGGGAGCTCCCGGTTCTTCCTGAGCCTTACGGACAAGGCACCATTCGGGTAAGGTTCAGAGTTCAGGGTTTAGGGTTTAGGGTTTTAGGGTTTTAGGGTTCAGGGTTTAGGGTTTAGGGTTTTAGGGAGGTTTAGGGTTTAGGGTTCCTAAGCGGGGGGTAAGGCGTCCTTTGAGGGTCCTATCAGGGTTTAGGGATTCGGCTTAAGGGTATCAAGTAGAGTTATAACTAACTACCCTGAAGGGGATCCTAGTATGGGTTATGATATGTATCAGTCTACAAAATACACACTTTCTAAGTCCCCCGACCCTCCAAGTAGGGTTCTAGAAAAGGGTCACCTTAAAGGGTACTAGATAAGGGGGCGTCCCTTTAAAGGGAGCCCATTTACGTGTGGGTTGAGGGCTTTAGGGGTGTAGGGATTTAGGGCCTAGCATTTAGAGCTTCGGCGTGACCCCTCCTCACAAAAGGATCTGACTTAGGGTTTAGGATTCAAGCGTTAGAAGTAAAATTTCAGATTTAAGGTTTAGCGCCCCGAGATTTTGAGATTTCGGATTTAGGGTTTAGGACTTATAAAGGTTAGGAACCGGGGTGGGTTTAACGGGATTCTACAATCAGGTTTTGGTGGGGTTTATACAGGGCTTAACGATGTTCTTGACTGCAGAGGTTCTGATAAGGCTTCTTAATTTTGAAAGCAAGGGTGGCATACTATTTCGGGAACCTAGAGAACTACCCGTATAATGGTTCCAATAAATACAGTTCTTCTAAGGGTGCTGCAAGGCATCCTTCGAGGAATCGATACAGCCATCCAGAAATGTATTTGTAGGATGTGTGCAACTTTTGTCCCGCTCAAGAGCCCCTCCTTCTCGGATGCGGTATTGTGACCCCGCAGAGGTTAAGGCTACCGCATTTCCATAGACAAGGAGTGTTCCAAGAATGTAGAGCCGAAAGGACTACGAGGGACCATGGTTCAGAACAGTCACAGGGTCATCAACGCATTA